GGGAGAGCAGTAGGGATTGCAAAAATACACTGTCAATTTTGTTGTATTTCTTGGTTGGGCAGAGAATTTCCCTCGACATTTTCCTATTGCCTGCCCGAAATCCAACAACTTGGAATCTATCAGTTCTTGTACCTTGTATTTGAGGTCTCTGCATTTCTCTATAGAGTGTCCTGTAGTGTTGTAGTGATATGCGCAACTAGCGGCAGGATCATACCATTTAGGATAAGGTGGCTCAAAAACCTCTCCTTCTACTGGATTTAACATTCCTTGGTTTTGAAGTTGGTCAAAGAGTTCAGCATAAGATATTAGAATAGGGTCAAAGTACAGATTTATTTGGGCGTAATTTGTGTTTATGCTCTAGTAATTGTTTCGGGTTTGTTGAGGAACATGTATTTGGTTTGTGTTTGGTCTGTGTTTTGGAAATTGTGAGAGTATATGGTATGGAAAGGCAGTGTATGGATATGAAGTTTGATAAGCGTATGAGGCTTTGGAGTATGGGTTTTGATGACGGTGTTTGGGTTTCTTGTAATTTCGCCCGTCAGCCAAGAAATTTGTTTCCCATTCCTCCTTTATCATGTTGGATAAACTCTTCCCTTCATTTGCACTTAGCTGATCGCCTGCTATTTTCCCACTTTTCAAACTATGCTCAATTCTATTTCCAACCTTAATCAAGGCATTAAAATCTGGAGTTACGTTCCCTATCATACGATCAAAATATGGGTTCTGGAGAGTGTTGATGAAAATGGCAAGCTGCTCGTCTTCCTCTAGGTTAGGTAAGACTTGTGAGGCGACTCCCCTCCACCTTTGAGCATATTCTTTGAAAGACTCGCTCTGCCTCATGGACATGTTCTGAACCTGAGTTCTGTCGGGAGCAGAGTCTTCATTGTACTTATATTGCTTGATAAAGGCATCTGAAAGATCAAGAAAAGTTTTGACCTTTTCTTTCTCCAAGTGGATATACCAAGTGGTAGCAATTCCTACCAGACTTTCCTGGAAGCAGTGGATCAATATATTGTCATTGTCATGGTACATCGACATTTTCCTGTCATACATAGGTAAATGGCTTTTGGGACAAGTTGTTCCATCATATTTGTCGAATTCTGGAACCTTGAACTTGGGTGGCAAAACTACATCAGGCACCAGACACGTCTCAAATATATTTTTTATGTCAGGATAATTAGTCTCTTCCACAACTTTCAATCTTTCTTTAATTGAATCCCACTTGTTCACATCTTCCTTCTCCTTCTCTGTAGCATTGTGAACAGGGATGCTGCTTCTTTTGTAAGCTTTGGTGGTCTGTTGTCTCATGTGAGAGTTTGTAGTACTATTCGTACTAGCTTTCATCTCTTGCATGACTAAGATCATATTCATCATTTCGGTCATTTGTTCCCTGAGCTCTGCCACCTCTGACTTATTTACTTCTTGGTCTGCCATCATTTAATCTTAAAATAGCTTGAGGTAGGGGTGCTTTAGAGGAATAATGAATATATCTGGATAACAAGTCATTTTGATCATATTAGAAATGACTCTTTTTTAAGAAATATGTTCGATGTTTATGAAATGATTATTGAATGTTATAATGATATGAATGCTTTTTCTCTTTAGAAAGTGAACTTTTAGAAAGAAACACAAGTCTTTTTCTATTGAGACAAATTGGCATAATAAGGCATTTCACCCCGCATTTGATTACTATGAGGCGTACCACAATAGTTTCTCCTGCGTTGATGACAATCTAAGAGGAAACACAAGGCCTCAAACCATGATTGCATCTAGATCGTTTCTTAGCATCGCCCAATAAACATCTTGTCCTACATTTGGTGTCTTGGGAGCTTACCCCGCAAGGTCGCCTGCAGTTGATGACAATTTCAGAAGAAACACAAGGTTTCAGACCTAGATTGCATCTATTAAATACAAGTTGTTTTTACTTTTTTTCAAGTTAGTTTTGGTAGCAAGGTATTGTCATAATGCTAAGAACTGATGTATATATCTTTACCAAATTTCTCTCAGGAAAGGAATTTGATCATGAATTTTTTATTTATAGATGGTATGCATCGTGTATGAGATGAGATTTTTTATGCATGTGATGCATGAATGAAAGAAAAAGTCAAAACACCTTTATTTATTTTTTTGCATATATATGAAGTGCATGAATTTACTTATTTTTAATTTTTATGGTAATGCATGGCATGAAATGCATGGCATGTTATGCAAAGTTTGAATGATTTTTTTTTCCATATGTATATGAATGTATGATGATATATATCTTTTTTTGTATGAATAGATGAAAGTTTCATTAATGAATTTTTTTTCACTTTTTGAATGCATATGTGCATGTGTGAATGATATTTTTTATTTTTGATTCATTATAGATTTTTTATAAATATCGGGATGACAATTTTTCTTTCTTTTTTGATGAATGTTTGAATGATGAATGAATGAATGGTATATATGAATTTTTATGATGATTTTTTTATTTTTTTTTTATAAATATTCGGATGATGTATGAATGTGTGAATGAATGGTATGCATGAACATGATGCAGTAATGTTAATGTATTTTGTACACCCGTAGGGCGTGATGGACCCTAATTAGTGGAATGTAGCCTTAATTTACAATACAGTAAAATGTCATGGTATATTTGACACTAATTATACTGTTAAGGCAAACTTAGAGTTAAAAGGTAAAACCCCAAATTTATTCGGATATCGGAAAATTGATCCCTAGGGCGCCTAGCCCATGGTTAGGAATCGAAGTTATCACTAGGGCACCTAGCCCATGGTTAGGAATCGAAGTTATCCCTAGGGCACCTAGCCCATGGTAGGGAATACTGTGATTTAGTCGTCCTTGTGAAACAAGGACATCTAAGTGCAATGACATCCTTACAATACTCAGGCATGAACATTCTTATTTGGGACAGAAGTCCCAAATTATGAGTGACGGATAAAATTAGGTTATGCTTCCCGTGTCCTAAACAAGGTACACTTACAAGGTTTTGGATATTGTAAAAGTCACAACCCTATAGTGAGGTACTATATGTCAATTAAAGTGGACTCGATGAAAAATGTTTTGGGTTTATACGTCGCCAGATTGCATCCAGTCTCGAAAGAAAGGAAAACCGAATATTACAGGTTAGAAACGAAAGGAGACGAGCTCCCTAAGCGGTTTAACTCATAATATCGGGAACAATCTGGGTGGTTCATCTCGCCAATGTAAGATTTGACACAAGGCCAGCACCGACAAGGCAGATGTCCCTTTTTTTAAAAAACCTAATCTCTAATACCCGGGTATAGGGCATATGTGTGTGTAACTTAAGTGTATTGTGTTCGTGTGTTAGGAAGCGTGCAAACCCCTTTTTTAAATAAATCTCCACCCCACAAGATGCAATAATTATCGTAGAATTTAAAACAAAGTAAAGCAAGAAAGTATAGCAAATGGTAATTCTAAAAAATAAACACCAAACAAAAAAGGGTATTTGAGTCCATGTTATTAACAATTCTGGGCCTGACTCTCTTATGGGTTGTCCCCAGCAGAGTCGCCAGCTGTCGCGACCCGATTTTCGGTTGGAAGACCGGCCCTGCGACTTAGGGAGAGACAAACTCGATTTCTACCTCTTCCAATTGATTTGGAGTCGCCACTACGTTTTTTGCGGTTAAAACGTAGAAAACTCTAAACATGCCCAATTAGGATAATGTGGTCTTTAACTAGAGATTCTGAGCTCGGGAGTCGATTACGGATCGGGGAAGGTATTAGCACCCCGTCCGCCCGTATTAAAACGGTACCCTCGCTAATAACATGGACTTTTATACCCTTAAAATTATTTATTAAAATTCAGTAAATAAAAACAAAATGTTTTATTTTTTATTGTTGTGCCTGACAATAATTCAACTTGCTCCTACGTATCCCTAGCTGCAATAGGGAAATCAAGGCTACGTAGTTCTGGTTCGAAAATTAATTGGTTGATTTCATTGATTTGAAGGTATCGATTTGGTTGAGTAATAGAATAAGTTTTTACTAAAACATTTTTGATGTGGAATTTAATAGTTTAGAAACGGCACTGGTTGTAGACCTCCTTCCCATTTTCAGAGAATTTAGAGACAACACGGACCATAACATTGCTATAAACTCCGTTTAAAATCACTTGAATAAATAATGATTATTTTTAAAATATTTGATGTGGAATTAATAGTTTAGAGACGACACTGGTCGTAGACCTCCTTCCCATTTTCAGAGAATTTAGAGACAACACGGGTCATAACCTTGCTATAAAAATTCCATTTAAAATCACTTGAATAAATAATGATTATTTTTGAAATATTTGATATGGAATTAATAGTTTAGAGACGGCACTGGTTGTAGACCTCCTTCCCATTTTCAGAGAATTTAGAGACAACACGGACCATAACATTGCTATAAACTCCGTTTAAAATCACTTGAATAAATAATGATTATTTTGAAAATATTTGATGTGGTATTAATAGTTTAGAGACGACACTGGTCGTAGACCTCATTCCCATTTTCAGAGAATTTAGAGACAACACGGGTCATAACCTTGCTATAAAAATTCCATTTAAAATCACTTGAATAAATAATGATTATTTTTGAAATATTTGATATGGAATTAATAGTTTAGAGACGGCACTGGTCGTAGACCTCCTTCCCATTTTCAGAGAATTTAGAGACAACACAGACCCTAACCTTACTATAAAACTCCATTTAAAATCCTTTGAGCAAATAATGAAATAAATTCCTTTGACAATGCATATAATTTGATAGTTTAAAATATAGAACAAACTAGTGGCTTTATGATTGGTACTATTATTACAATGGAAATAAATTAAAAGTCATATGTATAAATAAAGAATATAAATAAGACATTAAAACAAAAGAATAAACAAAACCAAAACAAATGGGTTCGGGTCAGGCCCAACAAAGAAAACCGGATTGAAGATGGAGGGGTTTTGTTTAGGTTTGCCATTTTTTGTTTTTAGGGATTTGAGTGAGATTAGAATAGGGTGAGAAGAAGAGAGAAAAACGAAAGTGAGAAGAACTCATGGTTTTCTCCTTCGGCGACAGAAGCGGCGTTTTCGCTCCGGTGACAACCTAAAAAGGAGCTCATCATCTGTTCCAACTCCTCCCTTCGGTTTTGTCCTTCTATTCCAGATTCAGAAAGGTATGAAAACCCTATTCCTCCTCTGCTTCTTTCCTCTTTTCCTTCTTAGAATTGTGAAGGAGATAGGAAACCACCACGGCTGACTTTGTCCGGCCATAACCACCATCGGTGGTGGTGAATCAGCGGGTACCAATATGGGTTCTTCATAGAACCCCGGTTTGAGCAAGGGTAACCTCCTAATCCTCTACTTATCCTCTTTATTTTGTTAAAAATTTGAAATCAAAACCAAAAGATAGTGTACGATCTATAAACATATTTATGTGTAGGTTTTTTATGTGACTATGTGATTGCCTTACCTATGATTTACCTTTCGAATGCACGATTCACCTCTGTCTGGCTTTAATCTGACTAGAACTCCCTTTTCGATTGCTTTGGTTCGTCTTGGAATTATATCCTTATTCTTTGCTTCTGATTATCAACTTTCGTTCCTAATTAGCCTTTGTTTCTGCTTCTGAATTATTCCCTGTTTAATCTTTATTGTTGATATTCGTTATGAGGATAGTGCTGTATAAGTGGTTGCTCTCTTCATGTATGTGACTTGCTGAGTTTTCTCTTATGTGCTATCTGTGTGTATGATTGGCTTTGTATACCTATGGTGTGTGATATGTATGTATGGACTGCTGGTTATCGGAGGAGGGATGGCTTGTGTGTATGAGAGATAGCAGAGGCTGGTTATTGCATAATGTGTGTCTTTTTTAGACTAAGGAACATGTATATGAAGAAGATGAAAGTAAGAAGATTTTCTGGTGGTTATGTTATGAGTGTAGGTCTCTGGTTTGCTATGTGTGGTGTCAGTACGTCCCCCCTGTGTAGTATGATGGCTGTTTATAAAGGATTCTGAAGGAACCTTTTGCTTTCCCAATTGGACTTAGTAAACAACCCATAACCTTCTAAATTTCCAACTGTTAGGCTTTTGAGTGGCTTCTGATTATATTTTGATGATTATTATTTACTATCCAGCTGATTCCATAACTGAAAAGAGGGCTGATGATTACTTCTCAAAACTGCACATAACTAACACTATTAATGCCTATTATGCCTAAAGTGTAACTGGTCCAAAGGTGTATGTATGGAGTCAATAATTTAGTGCTTCTTGGGCTCTTCTAATTGCATTTCTCGACTGGTCACCCCTTCTGTGTTCTCTGCTTTTTTGTGCCTTTCAAACTAGTTATCAATGCAGTGTTTGTAACTGAAATTTGCATATCCCAATAGGCAACCATCTGATGTATATTTCTGGCTAGTTTCCCTTAGGATTTATTATGTGATTGATTTGGCAGTGAAGGCATTTATGTTGTGTATGTAACTGAAAATAAATAAAAAGTGTCAGCCTTGCATCTGTTGATTGCCTCTTACACGTCATACTTGACTGATTACTCAGTTATTGGCTTGACTGTAATGTGCATGTTGCTTGTCATTCTCCATAAATTCCTTATTTAATTATTGCTTTGCAACATCTATCATCCTGTTAATTCAGCCACTGATTAGTGAAACTTTTTGCAGGTAGTTGCAACCATCATTTGGCATTCTTTAACTTTTTGCAGGGAGTAGTAAAGCATATTGAGTAAGGAGTTGTAGGTGTGATAAATCATAGCTGCTACAACCAACATCCCCCCGTGTTGTGCTGAAATCCTCCTCCAACCAATGCATAATGTCAGTGATAGCATTTGGTACTTCATCATTCGGAACCGTTCTTGAAGTTTCCCTTGATCCTATATTAAGCTCTCCAGCCTATACTTTGTGATGGTAATAGGAGTCATGGCGGACAATGATCTTTTATTTGGTTGAGTGAAACTTGTTGGAGCAGGACCGCTTTGGTGCACTCAATACAACAATATACCCACATATCACAAGGATATTTGTATCATATACCCACATAATCATTTGTAGCTTTGCGTTTTTGATATAGTGCACTTAATGTTTATCATGAATTTAATCCAATCCTTACCATTTCTTTCTTCTTTTGGTAGCTAATCTGGATTGTAGTGACTATAAAAAATGGTATCCTTTAGCCTCCAAAACCATACCTTCAAAACCATAGTTTGAACATCGACAACTTCCGACATCTATGAGTTCAAAATTCTTGCTACCTTTAGCAACCAACTAAGCAATTTGGATTTTTATCTTGCTCTACAACATTCTCTAAAAAATTTAAAAGCTTTTTTCTAATAAATTATGAACCGAATAATCATCATAAAGTTGGTTTGAGACGCCTAAATATTGTCCCTTTTTTTGAAAATTTTTATTGTTTTAAAATCTTCATATTCTTTATTTTATAAATAGGCCGGACAAAATTAGGTGTTCACAGCCCTGAAGATTCTTTCCAATCCCTGGACCCATTCAATGGTCGCATCCGGAGCGAATCCGCCTTGAAACTGACTGGGGTTTCTCCTGCAGAATTCATCCAGACCTCTGTATTCAGCCGGCCCAGGTGGAACCAATGGTTGCGAACTCGGACTCGGCGTCGCGTTCTGGTTCAGGTGCTGTAAGTTCTCGTTCATGTTCATCATCACTGCAGCAATCTGAGCCAATAAGTCATTCTGACCCGATCCTCTTCCTCTTCCTCTTCCAGACATCTCCGTAATGGGTACCTGTTTATCTCGGTTCTCATGGGTTAGTAAACCAGGTTTTAACTAAACAAATCAACACATAACCACACAGCAGTTCACTTAAATCACATAGTCCAATCATTTAGAAGTTACAAAGAAGCAAGTAAGGCCATACCCTAGGCCGCAGGACTAACTATGCTCTGATACCATAATTGTAAGAACCCAAAATTCACCCCTTGAAAATTTTTCATTTCATTAAACCCTAGCGTCTACCGTATACAACTAGCTATGGGTTTCCAAAATACCCATGGATACATATATGCGGAATTGCAATCAATCGTATAAGTCATATATCCATAGTTACAAAATATTCCCAAAATAATTCAATAAGCACTCATATACAAAATAGTGCAAATAAAGAAATTCCAAAACATAAGCTCCCTAAGCTCCCCCAAAAATGAGTCCCCCTCATGTCACCTGTTTATCTGCAATGGGATTATCAATGACAAGAACACAAACACGCAAAGGAGTAAGTCGTTAATTCAATAAACGTCATTATAAGATAATCCACATTAGAATAAGGGGTTAGTAAACCATTTTCGAAATTCATTTTATCTTGCTGCATAACTTGAGCCAAAGTCGCTATACCCCTTAGGATTAGCTAAAAGCAGAATCTCGTTTCTCTTAAAACAAATCACGCTTATATACTCAAGTCAGAGTTTACGCTTCTATACTCAAGCCAGAGTCGCTAACCATTCATGGTCGGCTAAAACATATTTTCCTTTCATCGATCTTCTCATAAATCATATTCATGCTTCTATACTCAAGCCAGAGTGTATGCTTCTATACTCAAGCCAGAGTGTATGCTTCTATACTCAAGCCAGAGTGTATGCTTCTATACTCAAGCCAGAGTGTATGCTTCTATACTCAAGCCAGAGTTTACGCTTCTATACTCAAGCCAGAGTGGCTAACCATTCATGGTCGGCTAAAACATATTTTACTTTCATCGATCTCCTCATAAATCATTTTCATGCTTCTATACTCAAGCCAGAGTGTATGCTTCTATACTCAAGCCAGAGTCGCTAACCATTCATGGTCGGCTAAAAATGTACTTCTTTTTCATTCGTTTCACCATAAATCATTTCCGGTAAATCCACGCCCACATTAGTATAAACACACCCATATATGTTTATACTAAATACGTGATTTACACTCAATCATCGCATAATCAGAAAGTACCACATACTTTCCTTTCCGTAAATCTACGCCTGCTTTAACGTAAACACACCCATATATGTTTATATCAAATGCGTACTTTACGTATCAATCATTGCATAATCAGAAAACTCACATTTTCGATTCCAAATGCTCAATTAAAGACTTATCCTTACCTCGGTGAGTGTTGGGTTTGGTTCTTGACAACTTCTCAAGTTCCACCGACACCGCCTCCAACTTTAGGATCTTTCCTCATTCCACCATATAACACAATGTTAGTCATTTATTCCAAATATCACATAAACAACTTATATTGCATTATTTAACCATACAAGATATTCATCATATTTTCAATGTTGCTAAACTATTTTCATCATAAGTTTACAACCATCTAAAACATACATATCCATCTCATATTTCAACATTAGAACGTAAACTCATTTTCTACCTTTAGCATTTTACCCATTTTCCACTTTAACCACATTATCCCTTTAGAGTTTTGGGGTTTTCATGAATCAACCCACAAACCTTTTCCATTCTCGAAATACTAACTCTAAACTAAGAATTTACAAGATAAAAACACATAAAACGAACCATAACTCCAAAGGATGAGTTTCCATGGTTTCTCACATTTGGAGAAGAGATCCAACATACCCAAAATGAGTTTAAGAGAGTTAGAATCAAGAGTTTTACCTCTTCTCAAGCTCTTAGGTGAGTATCAAAACTCCTTGCCCTTGGAAAAGCTCTCTTCTCTCACCTCCCTTCAAAGTTTTTAACCTTAAAATGTGTTTGGTTTCTGTTTTAAAGAGGTGTCATCGGGTTGTAATCGATTACCAACATGGTGTAATCGATTACAACGTGAAAAATGCGCATATCTGATGCTTTTAATACGATGTAATCGATTACCAGAAATGTGTAATCGATTACCAGCAATGTGTAATCGATTACCAGAAATGTGTAATCGATTACAAGCAATGTGTAATCGATTACCGGAAATGTGTAATCGATTACCGGAAATGTGTAATCGATTACCAGCAATGTGTAATCGATTACCAGCAATGTGTAATCGATTACCAGAAATGTGTAATCGATTACACTGTGTCAGATGCACATATCTGATGCTTTTAATACGATGTAATCGATTACCAGCAGATGTAATCGATTACTAGCAGAGTGTAATCGATTACCAGCAGAGTGTAATCGATTACACTGTGTCAACAGCCCAAAATTGCCATTTCTCGCCCAGGGAAGAATCCTCCAGTATCCCTCCCAGCTGATCCTTTTTCGCTCAGGCGAGGATCTCTCGATCAAGCGAGGCTTCCAAGACTGATACTATATTTTTAAAGATTAAAATTTGGGGTGTTACAACATAATTGGAGTTCCAATCTTCAACTTGATTTTATGATTAAGGATACCAGAAGTTTAAAGTTTGTTTAGAAATTCTGGAGTTAATACGTTCACCACTTCAATATCACTAACATCAAACATATCAACTGAATCTGAGCTTAGATATTCCTTTTCCTCTCCTATAGTTAAACATTAAAACATTTATTAGTATAAATCTATAAACATGTTCATTAAAATCATTGAAAATATGGAGATAAGAAAAGAAAATTTACCTGGAATTATGCTTATGACATATTCATTGATTTAATCTACAACATCAATTGTTGATGCTAGTATTGCCCTACATTGAAGAAATTGTTCATCATTGTAATGAAGATATAAGTCTGGATAAGTACTAGACGCTATTGCTTCAATTGGGTTATCAAAATTTAGAATCAAAAGTTCATCTGGAATATCAACTTCAACGCAACCATCATTAGGCTCTGATAATTTTCCATCCCCAACCTTTAGTATCCAATATGAGAATTCCCTTATTTCTGTTGAATTGTCATAATTTTGCAAACGCATATTCTTAGTGAGACTCAAAATTGTACAATAATGCCAAAGATATGATGAATTAATTGTAGCTTGTACAATATCTGAACGACATCCTCTTGGAATTACTGCCAAGATTTGTCTAAAATCACCACAAAAAACTAAAACCTTTCCTCCAAATATAATTGAGTCATTTGTTGTTGTACTCATTACAATGCATATGTCAAACGGTTAGTACAATTTGTTTTTCAGATCTTAATGCATATGTCAGAGTTCTCCACATATGGGTTTTTCCAGTTCCTCCATAACCATATAAGAAAAACATGCGTCCATGTTCTTGGTTTACAGCTTCCATGATTGTTTTGAATATTTTACATTGCTCATCTGAAATGTAATATATTAATATGTAAATAAACAACTTCATGACACAAAAATTCTCAAAAAATAATAGCATAATACATAGATATTGTAAGAGATTGGAAAAGAATATTGAATTTGTCTTTTAATTCATTTGTGTCATAATTAAGTTCATCATATATCAGTCTGTTGCCCAATTGACGTGTGATATATCTCTTTGGGTATGGCATTGGGGGATAGTCTCTCAAACTTCTTCGATTTCGCTGAAGTAGTTTCTCAATTTACACCATAGTTAGATTTTTTAACTCCTCGTCACTAAGCATCAAACCTATAAAAAATATAAAAAGTTCTATATAATTAAATATATATACAAATAATGAATATGAATTTAAATTTTTTAATTAAATAATTGAGTACCTTGATTATTAGCTATGTTCCTTTGATTGTATAGTATTCCGTCACATAAGCATTTCCAACTTTCTTTCCATACATGATCTGGTTTATTCATAGAGGTTGATAAGAGCATTGTAACAAATAATTTTCTTAGGTAGAATCCAGAACCTCAAGCATAGGCTTCTTTCAATGCTTCAATGTATTCCCTATCATCTTGGAGTAAACCCATTGCAAAACATGCATCTCTAAATGTAGAATATTGAATGTCTGAAACAGTTTCTAATATCTTCATAACATGTTGCACCCTTCACAACAGTTAACATTAGCTAAGATAATAGAGATCACCAGTACATGGAGAAACCCATATTAATCTACCAATTGTATATCCTGATTTTCTTGGTTTCCAAGTTCGACTCCTTTTGACATAGACAAATTTTGAGACATATTGACCATAACATAAATTTCTACCTTCTGGATATTGTTTATTTGATTCCATCCATGATGTAAACATGGATTCTGAGACGGTAGGTCTTGAAAGTATGTTGTCAATCTCGTCATTATCATTGAATTGCA